TGATGAAATTTCACTGATTTCCAGTGCCACTTTGTGAGGGAATCATGCACTAGGGGGTTGAAGGCTTGAGGCAATAGACACAAATGTGTCTAGTGTTGTCGCCTCAACCGTTCCTTTTGAAAGATTGTTCCAGCTCCTATGCTGGCTTCTTGCTGGTATGAGCCTGAATTGCCTGTCATGGCCTCGTCGCTGTCTTTGGAGTAGAGGGACGAGTTTCTGTTTAATACTGATAAACTCGATGACATTCTTATGAAGTGTCCAAATTCGTTCCACGACTCTTCCTTGGGTTAGCCATCTTACATCACTGTGCAAAAGATAAATCACAATGTCTCGCAATGATTCATGTTTGTACGCTTAAACAGACGATGCTGGCATGATTTATAAGTGTTGCCATGTCTGTTACTATCGCTTAAATCAGAGTCACGCTCGGTTTTTGAACATATAATTGACTGATAATTGATTCAGTGATATATTATACATTTTGGATGATGAACCACCTTAAAGTGACTGGCTAGACCTTTGTCCCTTCCTGTCATAGACAGGGCAACTCTCCCTTGGTTGGTTTATTGGTAGGCTTGTTGGTTGGGGTTGTTGGTTTGTTGGGTTGGTTGGTTGGTTGGTTGGTTCGTTGGTTGGGTTGGTTGATTGTTTGGTTGGTTGGTTGGTAGGTTGGGTTGTTGGTTAGTTGGTTGGTTGGATTGTTTGGTTGGTTGGTTTGTTGGGTTAGTTGGTTGGTTGGTTGTTTTGTTGTTTGGTTGGGTTGGTTGGTTGGTTGGTTCGTTGGTTGGCTGGGTTGGTTGGTTGGTTGGTTTGTTGGTTAGGTTGGTTGGTTGGTTGGTTTGTTGGTTGGTTGGGTTGTTGGTTGGTTGGGTTGGCTGGTTGGTTGGTTGGTTGGTTCTTTGCTTGCTTGATTGGTTGGTTGGTTGGTTGTTTTTTGTTTGGTTGGTTGGTTGGGTTTGTTGGTTGGTTGTTTCTTGGTTGGTTTGTTGGTTGGTTGGGTTTGTTGGTTGTTCGTCAGTTGGTTGGTTGGTTGATTGGTTGGTTTGTTGGTTGCTTAGTTGGTTTGTTGGTTGGTTGTTGTTGGTTGGTTGTTTGTTGGTTGGTTGGTTGGTTGTTGGTTGGTTGGTTGGTTGGTTGTTTGTTTGTTTGTTTGTTGGTTGGTTGTTTGTTGGTTGGTTTTTTGGTTGGTTGGTTGTTGGTTGGTTTGTTGGTTGGTTTGTTGGTTGGTTGGTTGTTTGTTGGTTGGTTGGTTGTTTGGTTGTTTGGTTGGTTTGTTGGTTGTTGTTGGTTTGTTGTTTGTTGGTTGATTGGTTTGCTTGGTTGGTTGAGTTGGTAGGTAGGTTGGGTTGTTGGTTGATTGGTTGGTTGGTTGTTTGTTTGTTGGTTGGTTGTCGTTCTTGATTTTTGTTGATATTTTTTTCCGATTGGGGGGGGGGGGGGCAAATTTTTTTTTTTTACCCTTATTTTTGCAATATGTAAAATTGAAGAACATTTTGTTATCTTAGCAATATGTCAAATTGAAGAACTATTTGATATACTTGCCGATAAACTATCTCATCAACTACTTCATAAACTATCTGATAAGCTATTTGATAAACTACCTGATAAGCTATTTGCTGAACTATCTGATAAGCTATTTGATAAACTATCTGATAAGCTATTTGATAAACAGTGCTGTTAAAACTAGATTTTTAACTGATTGTCTCTCATACTTTGACTATATCTAAAGAAGTTTGTTTCTATTGATTTTTTTTTTAAATATACATTTCGGTAAATTGTTCAATAGAGCACGATGTCATTTAATGTATTTGTGTTAACTGTCAAGTCATTAATTTGTGTTGACATGTCAAGTAGTTTATTAAAGAAAGCCTGACTTCTTTTGGTGTGACGCTACACAATGCTCTTCATCCGCCTTGAATGTGTTATGTTTTCCAACAGTGTAGTTTGGAATTTTGGAAAAAATAAAATTGTGGTTATTTTTCATGAGAGGCGTTATCTAGTGGGTAAGGCGCCGAGTGGGGGCGTCGGTTCAACAAATCTAGGGGGCGTCAAGAGAAAGCAGTTAACGGGTCGGCTGTTAAAGATGAGAATAGCTTATTAAATACAGGTGCTTCAAGTCATACTATAGGTAAACACTGCTAGCTGTGAGCGGTGGCCACCTAGCGATGGGGGCTGTCGTAAAACGTATGCCCTATAATTGGAAAGCTTAACAGTCAATCTATTTATTGCCCATAATGACGGTATTTATCTCGGAAGACACAGGTCAGGAATTAACGCCAACCTAGTCTTTCCGGTCAGTCTAGCTCCCAGCATGCCCTCGGTAGTTTATGACCACCGGTCTGCGGTGTCTGAGGTAAGGAGAGGGGGAGGGAAAGATTTAGACCAACCAAAGAATTTCACACTTTGAGACTCCCCTAGGCTGGGCTGTAATACAATTGTCGTCTGTATGGAGCCTCGGTTCAGAAGTATTAACTCATCACAGTTGAATGCTTAGCTCTTGATGACTGGGGTCCTTATTATAAGACAGCTCTGCCATCCTTGTTCCAAGATACGATGTGAGAGCCACTTATTTTGGGTGAAGGGTATCCTTGTCACATGTGTGGGTCAAATCGGATGGCATCTTGTGATAATCGTATTGTTCTACTACGCCATTGTACTAATCAAAATAATCATCTTAAAAGACAACCAAGTCTAAAGAGTTTAAAGAAATCATATGGGAACAACGACAAATATTTTATTTAATGTCACAAAGTAAATTGATAATCCGTTATGATCATCATGATACACCTAATATGTAAGATGCATTCATCATGTAGGATAAAAATACCATGTAGAAAATATATATCATGCAGGATACAAATACCATGTAGAATACATCTATCATGTAGGATACAAATACCATGTAGAATACATCTATCATGTAGGATAAATCTATAATGTGTGACAGAAACATCATTTTGTGAATCATCCATCATTTATGATGTATCTATCCTGTAGTCTCTAGGATATATCAATAACTTAGTAAACATCCATCATGTGAGATCCATCTATCATGGGGTATATATTCACAGATGAATTGAGAATTACGAACAGGTATCGGGATGATAAATGTTCAAATGATTTGAAGATGAAATTTTCTTAATTATGAACTAATATACGTGAAACGTAATGCTATGTCATAATGTGACCGAGAAAGCAAATATCTATGTATTTATTTATTTAGGCATTGTTATATAGCGCTTACCTTACAGCTCTAAGCGCTTTACAATTATTAAAAACATGTAACATATTTAAACTGCTGAAGCAAAAAAAAAATGAAAAACCAGAGACACTAGAATAGTAACTACTATATTAAAAATGACTATAGAAACAGTAGCTTAACCATTAGAATGGCTATAAAAACGAGTACACTTTGGCACGTTTTGGCCTATACTACAGGATCAACCCGAGACAGAAAATGAGGAAGGGCAGAGAGGGTGCATCATAGGTCATAGGCGGACCTAAACAGATGGGTTTTAAGGGACTTTTTGAAAATGGACGAGGTTTCACAATGACGGATGTGGAAGGGGAGCTGTTTCCAGAACGTTGGCGCATGGAAGTAGAAGGAGCGTTCACCGATGGTCTTAGTTTTGGTTCTTGGGATTGAGAGGGTTCTATTGTCAATAGAAGTTGTCTTGTGGGGATGTAAGGAAGCAACAGTTCAGAGAGATAGACACCACCAGCTCCTTCATCCAGTATCCACAACCATAAATATTCAATGTAGGCGCTGGTAATGGTTGTAGATACTGGATGTAGTAGCTGGTGATGGTTGTAGATACTCAATGTAGGAGCTAGTGATGGTTGTAGATACTCAATGTAGGAGCTAGTGATGGCTGTAGATACTCAATGTAGGTGCTAGTGATGGTTGTAGATACTCAATGTAGGAGCTAGTGATGGCTGTAGATACTCAATGTAGGAGCTAGTGATGGTTGTAGATACTCAATGTAGGAGCTAGTGATGGTTGTAGATACTCCATGTAGTAGCTGGTGATGGCTGTAGATACTCAATGTAGGAGCTAGTGATGGTTGTAGATACTCAATGTAGTAGCTGGTGATGGCTGTAGATACTCAATGTAGGAGCTAGTGATGGTTGTAGATACTCAATGTAGGAGCTAGTGATGGCTGTAGATACTCAATGTAGGAGCTAGTGATGGTTGTAGATACTCAATGTAGGAGCTAGTGATGGTTGTAGATACTCAATGTAGGAGCTAGTGATGGCTGTAGATACTCAATGTAGGAGCTAGTGATGGTTGTAGATACTCAATGTAGTAGCTGGTGATGGCTGTAGATACTCAATGTAGGAGCTAGTGATGGCTGTAGATACTCAATGTAGGAGCTAGTGATGGTTGTAGATACTCAATGTAGGAGCTAGTGATGGTTGTAGATACTCAATGTAGGAGCTAGTGATGGTTGTAGATACTCAATGTAGGAGCTAGTGATGGTTGTAGATACTCAATGTAGGAGCTAGTGATGGTTGTAGATACTCAATGTAGGAGCTAGTGATGGTTGTAGATACTCAATGTAGGAGCTAGTGATGGTTGTAGATACTCAATGTAGTAGCTAGTGATGGTTGTAGATACTCAATGTAGGAGCTGGTGATGTTGTATATACTCAATGTAGGAGCTAGTGATGGCTGTAGATACTCAATGTAGGAGCTAGTGATGGTTGTAGATACTCAATGTAGGAGCTAGTGATGGTTGTATATACTCAATGTAGGAGCTAGTGATGGTTGTAGATACTCAATGTAGGAGCTAGTGATGGTTGTAGATACTCAATGTAGGAGCTAGTGATGGTTGTAGATACTCAATGTAGGAGCTGGTGATGGTTGTAGATACTCAATGTAGTAGCTGGTGATGGTTGTAGATACTCAATGTAGGAGCTAGTGATGGTTGTAGATACTCAATGTAGGAGCTAGTGATGGTTGTAGATACTCAATGTAGGAGCTGGTGATTGTTGTATATACTCAATGTAGGAGCTAGTGATGGTTGTAGATACTCAATGTAGGAGCTAGTGATGGTTGTAGATACTCAATGTAGGAGCTGGTGATGTTGTATATACTTAATGTAGGAGCTAGTGATGGTTGTAGATACTGGATGTAGGAGCTAGTGATGGTTGTAGATACTCAATGTAGGAGCTAGTGATGGTTGTAGATACTGGATGTAAGAATGAAATAGGAATACTAAACCATGTTTAGAATTTAGACAACACCATGTCAGAATGTAGACAAAACCATGGACAGAATGTAGAAGGCTACTACTACCCAAGCATAAACAAATGAACATTCCAAACTCTATGCATTTTGTTTGAAATAGTCCTTAATATCGTGCATGAAGGCCGTCTAACTTTAAAATGAGTACACAATAGGCTTCGGGTTTCATAAGCCGTTCAAACTTATCTGACTATTTGTGCCCATTCATCTGTCTTTCCTGTCTGTCTGTCCTATCTTTCTACGCAGAAAGAAGGAGCCTTGTTGTCCAGTATCATTTGCTACTGATAAGGAAATGTTGGCACTTGCCTCGCTTGGCCAGGTGCTCACCAGCGGATGAATACTGACTTTGTTATTGCCAAATTTATTCTAGACTTCTTCAACTTGCCGGCATAGATGACGTGTAGGCCGAGCGTTTTCTCAAGCATTTATGATTTCCTGATGTGATGTCTTGATGTGATGTCTTCATGTGATGTCTTGATCTGATGTCTTGATGTGATGTCTTGATGAGATGACTTGATGTGATGTCTTGATCTGATGTCTTGATGTGATGTCTTGATGTGATGTCCTGATATGATGTCTTGATTGATGTCTTGATCGGTTTCTTGATGTGGTTTCCTGGTGTGATGTCTTGATTGATGTCTTTGTGTGATGTCTTGATAAATTTCTTGGTGTGTTGTCTTGATGTAATGTCTTTCTTGAAATAAACAAAAATTCTTTTAAAATTCACATACGTTTCTCTCTGATTTATTAATATTATCTGCAGACACACATTGTCTCTCTTTCTCCCCCTTCAACCTCTCTCTCTCCCCTTCTCTCTTTCCCCCTCTCTGTTTTTCTTCGTCGTAGTGAGACATGGCATGCAAGAGAATGTCTTTAATACAGGCTCAAAAGAGATTTCTGATATAAGTTCAAGATATCAGTTTCAGAAATCAGTTCTAGATCCCCTGGTGATGACCCAAACAAGGGGTCAGAGCCTTGGGATAAAATGAATTTTTTAAAATTATTCGCTCTATAACAACAATTGCACAGTCATGTTGAGCTGCTCATGCCATTGCAGCTCGAAGTATCCAGATGTCAAGTATCCATATGTCAAGTATCAAGTTGTCAAGTATCAAGTTTTCAAGTATCAAGTTGTCAAGTATCAAGTTGTCAAGTATCCAGATGTCAAGTATCAAGTATTCAAGTATCCATATGTCAAGTATCAAGTTGTCAAGTATCAAGTTGTCAAGTATCAAGTTGTCAAATATCCAGATGTCAAGTATCAAGTATTCAAGTATCCAGATGTCAAGTATCCAACTGTACAAAATACTTTAAAATCATTGTTGAATGTGACGATTTCGTTTCCTAAACATTTTGCCTTCCATCATTAAGTACGAGTCAATTCTAATATCACCCACCGCACGTGCGGGCCTCGAGATTTCACGTGATAGGACGAGATTTAACAGGGCAGGGCGAGATTTAAAGGGTAGGACAGGTGAAATATATTTGTCTTCAAATAAATGTTTTTACAAATGTCATTGGTGAACTTTAAAAAGTAAATGACAAAAAATTTCATTGGTGAACTTTAAAAAAGTAAATGACAAAAAATGTCATTAGTTAACTTCCAAAAAGTGCGTACAGTTAAACACCGTCCACGCCTCCCATTGTTCCCCTTACGCGCCCCTACCCCCAGTCAGCACCATAAAATATTCTTGAATGAAGCCTGTATGCTCTCCTAGCAGCCATCGGTGGCTGATCACATTAAAGCGACCGCTTCTCTTACTGACCAACCAGTTTGTCATCTCTGGGGCACGAAGCACAGAACATCAGGACACCAAGCTGAGTGGACGCCAGAAAGGTGACGTCATCAAACGAGAGTTCAGTCGGAGCTAACTTTTCTAGGGAGATTGCCGAGGGCCGATTGGGAACAGGTCAAGTTAAATCTCACGATCAATTTATTGATCATTTTGGCTCCTATGCATGTAGATGGGATTTGCAATGTTTCTGCTACTGGAGGTGATGAGGAAATTATGCACAAGTGTTTGAAGGCTTGAGGCAATAGACACAAATGTGTCTAGTGTTGTCGCCTCAACTGTTCCTTTTGAAACTGTTCCTGTTGTTATTAGTTGCTTTTTTTATATCTAAAACTATTTTATTCTATTATAACCTTGGAACGATGAAGGAACAATTATGGTACAATAAAGGAACAGTTATGGTACAATAAAGGAACAGTTATTGTACAATAAAAGAAGATTTATTATAAAGTGTCACCAAATTATAAAAAGAGAGAACTAAAAATAACTTGGAGCGCCGCAGTGACGTCACTTTGCCCGGAGTGTCGAATTATTGTTCACATCAGATACAGCACACGTACATTTAATGTACACATCAGACACAGCACAAGTACATTTACTGCACACAAAAGACACAGCACAAGTCCATTTATTCCACACAAAGGACACAGCACAAGTCCAATTCATGTACACAACAGCCACATCACAAGTAAATTTAAAATACACAACAGACACAATACAAGTCCATTTAATGTACACAACAAACACAATACAAGTCCATTTAATGTACACAACAGACACAATACAAGTCCATTTAATGTACACAACAGACTCAATACAAGTCCATTTAATGTACACAACAGACAATCACAGGCACATTTAATGTACACAACAGACACACTACAAGTCCATTTAATGTACACAACAGACACAATACAGTACATTTAATGTACACATCAGACACTGCACAACTACATTTACTGTACACAAAGGACACAGCACAAGTCCATTTATTGCACACAAAGGACACAGCACAAGTCCAATTCATGTACACAAGTCCAATTCATGTACACAACAGCCACATCACAAGTACATTTAAAGAACACAACAGATACAGCACAAGTACATTTATTGTACACAAAGGACACACCACAATTCCACTTAATGTACACAACAGACACATCACAAGTACATTTAATGTACACAACAGACACAATACAAGTCTATTTAATGTACACATCAGACACAACACAAGTCCATTTAATGTACACAACAGACACAATACAAGTCCATTTAATGTACATTGCAGACACAATACAAGTACATTTAATGTACACAACAGACACATCACAAGCACATTCAATGTACACAACAGACACAATACAAGTCCATTTAATGTACACAACAGACATAATACAAGGCCATTTAATGTACACAACAGACACAGCACAACTCCATTTAATGTACACAACAGACACATCGTAAGTACATTTCATGTACACAACAGACACAATAAAAGTGAGTCATTAGCAAGGTGTCTCCAGATGACCATTATAAGATGAACCTCAGGCCGCGATGACTTTATCCTACAACACACACCGTAACATAAGAGGGAGAGGGGGTCGGGATCTAAAAGTCTTTGTGTGCCACTTTGATAACCACATAACATGACATGACATTACATGACATTACATGACATTACATGACATTACATGACATTACTTAACAATACATGACATGGCATAACATTACATGACATTACATAACATTACATGACATTACTTAACAATGCATGACATGTCATAACATTACATAACATTACATGACATTACTTAACAATACATGACATGGCATAACAGTAAATGACATGAAATGACATGAAGTTTACTGTTGGAAAAAACACCCAGTAAATAATGTTTCCATCTTGCCGCTGATCCAGACATTCCCACCTAGTCCCTGGGCCAGACATTCCCACCCAGTCCCTGAGCCAGACATTCACACCTAGTCCCTGAGCCAGACATTCCCACCTAGTCTCTGAGCCAGACATTCCCACCTAGTCTCTGAGCCAGACATTCCAACCTAGTCTCTGAGCCAGATATTCCGACCTAGTCCCCGAGCAAGACATTACCACCTAGTCTCTGAGCCAGACTTCCACCTAGTCTCTGAGCCAGACATTCCCACCTTGTCTCTGAGCCAGACATTCCCACCTAGTCTCTGAACCAGACATTCCCATCCACCTTGTCTCTGAGCCAGACCTTCACACCTAGTCTCTGAACCAGACATTCCCACCTAGTCTCTGAGCCAGATATTCCCACCTAGTCCCCGAGCCAGACACTACCACCTGGTCTCTGAGCCAGACATTCCCAACTAGTGTCTGAGCCAGACATTCCCACCTAGTCCCTGAGCCAGACATTCCCAGCTAGTCCCTGAGCCAGACATTTCCACCTAGTCTCTGAGCCAGACATTCTCACCAACGTCTGAGCCAGACATTCTCACTTCACCTCTGAGCCAGACATTCCCACCGAATCTCTGAGTCAGACATGTCCACATTGCCTCTCAACACGTGAAGTTTTAAAACTGGTCTTTCCACCAGATTTTCCCTACTAACAATTATGCAATCGAATTTTCTGCTTCTTAGAATGTGAATGTTTATCTGAGCTGAGATGTTCTATCTGTACACGTGTGTACATTTTAACTTTGAGAGGACATTTGTTCTATCTCTCTTTTTTTCTTTTCTTCAGGAGACAATTTCCTCAGAGCTTCCGTTTAAAGACAGAAAAAAGATAAACGCAGCGTCATACCACAACACCTACTGGATCAAAGGGACATAAACTTGTAGGTCCTCAAGTTAAGTAACTCTGACACTTTGTCAGTGCCGTTAAGCCCGGCTGTCTAGGGGTCGGTCTCATGGACGTGAAGGATCGCAGGGGATCTCCAGGTCGTTGGAAAGGTTCGTTCGAATATGAGACACGTCAAGTATGCAAATGTTGTAGCATGGAAAGTGAAACATTGTATACCACATCAACTACAATAAGTTAATTATACCACATCAGCTACAATAAGTCAATTATAACACATCAACTACAATAAATCAATTATGCCACATCAACTAAAATAAGTCAATGGAAATATACATTTATTTATAGCAAATATGTATTATTATATTTCTTAAATACTATACTATAATTATAAGTATTTGTATTATAATTATGTCAATTATAAGATTAGTTTAAACAGGATTATAAGTTTACTTCTTTCTCTAAGATTAACTTAGAAGCTTTTGTAATTTAATTCAAATTAAGAGTCAGCAATAAATATGTTCAAATTAAGAGTCAGTAATAAACATGTTCAAAGTCTGCATTCGGGTTGCTCTTTGGAAATTCAACATTTGTCTTCATTAGCGGTTTTCAACATGTCGCTCGTGACCCCTTTGGGGGTCAAACGACCCTTACACAGGAGTCACCCAGAACCATCGGAAAACACATATTTATGAAGTAGCAACGAACTTAATTTTATGGTTGGGGTCGCCACAGCAAGAGAAGCTGTATTAAAAGGTCGCGGATTTATGAAGATTGAGAACCACTGGTCTAAATAATGTGTCCTTCTGGAAATCTTTTTCATGCGGTTATTTTCGCAACAGTAGCAAGCATTATCATCGTACTTTACATTGTGTACAGGAGCAAGTATTATCATCTTAAGTTACATTGTGTACAGGAGCAAGTATTATCATCTTAAGTTACATTGTGTACAGGAGCAAGTATTATCATCTTAAGTTACATTGTGTACAGGAGCAAGTATTATCATCTTAAGTTACATTGTGTACAGGAGCAAGTATTATCATCGCACTATACATTGTGTACAGGAGCAAGTATTATCATTTAAGTTACATTGTGTACAGGAGCAAGTATTATCATCGCACTATACATTGTGTACAGGAGCAAGTATTATCATCGCACTATACATTGTGTACTGGATCAAGTATTATCATCGCACTATACATTGTGTACAGGAGCAAGCATTATCATCGCACTATAGATTGTGTACAGGTATTGTCACCGTACCTTCATTTATAAATTTGAGGAACTTTTTCTATATTTAGTTTCCTTTTAAGTTAAAGTAGATGTGTATCTTCATGGCGGATGTGTTGATGTCATAATAAATGTGTATCTTCATGGCGGATGTGTTGATGTCACAATAAATGTGTATCTTCATGGCGGATGTGTTGATGTCATAATAAATGTGTATCTACATAGCAGATGTTTTGATGTCATAATAAATGTGTATCTACATAGCGGATGTTTTGATGTCATAATAAATGTGTATCTACATGGCAGATGTTTTGATGTCATAATAAATGTGTATCTACATGGCGGATGTTTTGATGTCATAATAAACGTATATCTACATGGTGAATTTGTTGATGTCATTTTCCCGAAGCTTTCAGATAGCAATAACTCATTATTGTTATGGTTGACAAGCGATCTCTACTGTGATGATTGACTAGCAATCAGTACTTTGATGGCTGTCAAGCAATCGGTACTGTTATGGTTGACTAGCGATCAGTACTGTGGTGTTAGACTAGCAATCAGTATTGTGATGGTTGAATTGCAATCAGTACTAATATGGCTGTCAAGCAAAAGGTACTGTACGGTTGACTAGTGATGAGTATTGTGATGGTTGACTCACATACAGTAATGTGATGGTTGACTAGCAATCAGTAGTGTGAGGGATGACTAGCGATCAGTACTGTCATGGTTGACTAGCGATCAGTACTGTTATGGTTGACTAGCGATTATTACTATGATGGTTGACTAGCAATCAGTATTGTTATGGTTGACTAGCGATCAGTGTTTTGAGGGTTGACTAGCGATTAGTACTTTGATTGTTAACTAGCAATCAGTACTTTGATGGTTGACTAGCAATTAGTTGACAAGCGATCAGTACTAAGATGGCTGTCAAAGAATCGATACTGATATGGTTAACTACCAATAAGTATTGTGATGGTTGACTAACAATGAATACTATGATGGTTGACTACCAATAAGTATTGTGATGGTTGACTAACAATGAGTACTGTGATGGTTGGCTAGCAATCTGTACTCTGGGGTTTGACTAGCGATCAGCACTGTGAGGGTCGACTAGCGATCATTACTGTGAGGGTTGACTAGCGATCAGTATTTTTATAAGGTTGACTAACTATGAGTATAGTGATGATTGACAAGAAATGAGTACTGTGATTATTGACTTGCAATGAGTACTTTTATACGGTTGACTAGCTATGAGTAATGTGATGGTTGAGTAGCAATGAGTACTGTGGTGGTTAACTAGCAATGAGTACTGTGGTGGTTGACTAGCCATAAGTACTGTGATGGTTGACTAGCAATGAGTACTGTGGTGGTTGACTAGCAATGAGTACTGTGATGGTTGACTAGCAATAAGTACTGTGGTTGTTGACTAGCAATTAGTACTGTGGTTGTTGACTAGCAATGAGTACTGTGGTGGTTGACTAGCCATAAGTACTGGGATGGTTGACTAGCAATGAATACTGTGGTGGTTGACTAGCAATGAGTACTGTGGTGGTTGACTAGCAATGAGTACTGTGGTGGATAACTAGCAATGAGTACTGTGGTGGTTGACTAGCAATGAGTTCTGTGATGGTTGACTAGCAATGAGTACTGTGGTTGTTGACTAGCAATGAGTACTGTGGTGGTTGACTAGCCATAAGTACTGTGATGGTTGACTAGCAATGAGTACTGTGGTGGTTGACTAGCAATGAGTACTGTGGTTGTTGACTAGCAATGAGTACTGTGGTGGTTGACTAGCCATAAGTACTGTGAAGGTTGACTAGCAATGAATACTGTGGTGGTTGACTAGCAATGAGTACTGTGGTGGTTGAGTAGCAATGAGTACTTTGGTGGTTGACTAACAATGAGTAATGTGGTGGTTGACTAGCAATGAGTACTGTTGTTGTTGACTAGCAATGAGTACTGTGATGGTTGACTAGCAATGAGTACTGTGGTTGTTGTCTAGCCATAAGTACTCTGATGGTTGACTAGCAATGAGTACTGTGGTGGTTCACTAGCAATGAGTACTCAGGTGGTTGACTAGCAATGAGTACTGTGGTGGTTGATTAGCAATGAGCACTGTTGGTGGTTGACTAGCAATGAGTACTGTGGTGGTTGACTAGCAATGAGTACTGTAGTGGTTGACTAGCCATAATTACTGTGATGGTTGACTAGCAATGAGTACTGTGATGGTTGAGTAGCAATTAGTACTGTGGTGGTTGACTAGCAATGAGTACTGTGATGTTTGACTAGCCATAAGTACTGTGATGGTTGACTAGCAATGAGTACTGTGGTAGTTGACTAGCAATGAGTACTTTTGTGGTTGACTAGCAAAGAGTACTGTCGTGGTTGACTAGCAATGAGTACTGTGGTGTTTTTTAGCCATTATTATTTTGATGGTTTACTAGCAATGAGTACTGTGGAGGTTGACTAGCCATAAGTACTGTGATGGTTGACTAGAAATGAGTACTGTGGTGGTTGACTAGCAATGAGTACTGTGGTGGTTGATTAGCAATGAGCACTGTTGGTGGTTGACTAGCAATGAGTACTGTGGTGGTTGACTAGCAATGAGTACTGTAGTGGTTGACTAGCCATAAGTACTCTGATGGTTGACTAGCAATGAGTACTGTGGTGGTTTATTAGCAATGAGTACTCAGGTGATTGACTAGCCATAAGCACTGTGGTGGTTGACTTGCCATAAGTACTGTAATGGTTGACTAGCAATGAGTACTGTGGTGGTTGACTAGCCATAAGCACTGTGACTAGCAACTGTGTTGGTTGACTAGCCATAAGCACTGTGACAAGAAACTGTGGTGGTTGACTAGCCATAAGCACTGTCACTAGCAACTGTGGTGGTTGACTAGCCATAAGCTCTGTGACTAGCGACTGTGGTGGTTGACTAGCCATAAGCACTGTGACTAGTAACTGTAGTTGTTGTTTAGCCATAAGCACTAAGACTAGCAAGTGTGGTGGTTGACTAGCCATAAGCACTGTGACTAGCAACTGTGGTGGTTTACTAGCCACAAGCACTGTGACTAGCAAATGTGGAGGTTGACTAGCCATGAGCACTGTGACTAGCAACTGTGGTGGTTGACTAGCCATAAGCTCTGTGACTAGCAAGTGTGGTGGTTGACTAGCCATAAGCACTGTGACTAGCAACTGTGGTGATTGACTAGCCATAAGTACTGTGATGGTTGACTAGCAATGAGTACTGTGATGGTTGACTAGCAATGAGTACTGTGGTTGTTGTCTAGCCATAAGTACTCTGATGGTTGACTAGCAATGAGAACTGTGATGGTTGAGTAGCAATGATTACTGTGGTGGTTGACTAGCAATGAGTACTGTGATGGTTGACTAGCAATGAGTACTGTGGTGGTTGACTAGCCATAAGTACTGTGATAGTTGACTAGCAATAAGTACTGTGGTGGTTGACTAGCAATGAGTACTGTGTTGGTTGAGTAGCAATGATTACTGTGGTGGTTGTCTAGCCATAAGTACTTTGATGGTTGACAAGCAATGAGTACTGTGGTGGTTGACTAGCAATGAGTACTTAGGTGGTTGACTAGCAATGAGTACTGTGGTGGTTGACTAGCCAAAAGTACTGTAATGGTTGACTAGCAATGAGTACTGTTGTTGTTGACTAGCCATAAGCACTGTGACTAGCAACTGTGTTGGTTGACTAGCCATAAGCACTGTGACAAGCAACTGTGGTGGTTGACTAGCCATAAGCACTGTGACTAGCAACTGTGGTGATTGACTAGCCATAAGCACTGTGACTAGCAAGTGTGGTGGTTGACTAGCCATAAGCACTGTGACTAGCAACTGTGGTCGTAACTAGCCATAAGCACAGTGACTAGCAAGTGTGGTGGTTGACTAGCCATAAGCTCTGTGACTAGCAACTGTGGTGGTTGACTGGCCATAAGCACTGTGACTAGCAAGTGTGGTGGTTGACTAGCCATAAGCACTGTGACTAGTAACTGTGGTGGTTGACTAGCCATAAGCACTGTGACTAGCAAGTGTGGTGGTTGACTAGCCATAAGCACTGTGACTAGTAACTGTGGTGGTTGACTAGCCATAAGCACTGTGACTAGCAAGTGTGGTGGTTGACTAGCCATAAGCACTGTGACTAGTAACTGTGGTGGTTGACTAGCCATAAGCACTGTGAATAGCAAGTGTGGTAGTTGACTAGCCATAAGCATTGTGACTAGTAACTGTGGTGGTTGACTAGCCATAAGCACTGTGACTAGTAACTGTGGTGGTTGACTAGCCATAAGCACTGTGACTAGCAAGTGTGGTGGTTGACTAGCCATAAGCTCTGTGACTAGCAAGTGTGGTGGTTGACTAGCCATAAGCACTGTGACTAGTAACTGTGGTGGTTGACTAGCCATAAGCATTGTGACTAGTAACTGTGGTGGTTGACTAGCCATAAGCACTGTGACTAGCAACTGTGATGATTGACTAGCCATCGCTAGTGTTGTGGTTGAAGATCATAAAGCCACATCTATTTTTAACCACCGCTTAAGGCTATTGCCATTATTTAGCCACGCCTTGACTTTGTTTGTACAGATCTAATCAAGTAGTCATCTGCCCCTGACATGTCATCACCTTATGGTTAGGATTATCTCCCCTCATTGTCAGCCCTCGATCTTAAGCAGGGGATGTAACTCCGACCGTGTCACGGATCAGTCGTTCTTTTCATCATCATCAACTCGATGATAACTAGCGACTGGTGGCTTATAACAAAAATGCACACTCTCAGTTATACATACTTATTCATTGATGTGGTATGTGTACATCATACATTGGGTGTGTACTACATCTGACATCTGCCTGATGATACATCTTAGATCGCACTAGTGGTATACCTTATATCGTACTAGTGGTATATCTAGCATCGGACAAGTGGTATATCTTACATCGTAATAGTGGTATATCTTGCATTGGATTAGTGGTATACCTTAGATCGTACTAGTGGTATTTCTTAGATCGTACTAGTGGTATATCTAACATCGGACTAGTGGTATATCTTAAATCGTACTAGTGGTATATCTTGCATTGGACTAGTGGTATATCTTACATCGTACTAGTGGTATATCGTACATCGTACTAGTGGTATATCTTACATCGCACTCGTCGTATATCTTAAATCATACTAGTGGTATATATTACATCGTACTAGTGGTATATCTTGCGTTGGACTAGTGGTATATATTACATCGTACTAGAGGTATATCTTACATCGTACTAATGGTACCATTCATCATTCACCAACAGATTAACTAAAAATGTTGGCATAAACAACATTCATAAACAGATTAACAAAAAATGTTGGCATAAACACCATTCACCAACAGGTTAACTAAAAATGTTGGCATAAACATCATTTACCAACAGATTAACTAGAAATGTTGGCATAAACATCATTCACCAACAGATTAACTAAAAATGTTGGCATAAACATCATTCACCAACAGGTTAACCAAAAATGTTGGCATAAAATCATTCACCAACAGCTTAATTAAAAATGTTGGCATAAACATCATTCACCAACAGCTTAATTAAAAATGTTGGCATAAACATCATTCACCAACAGGTTAATTAAAAATGTTGGCATAAACATCATTCACCAACAGGTTAATTAAAAATGTTGGCATAAACATCATTCACCAACAGGTTAATTAATAATGTTGGCATAAACATCATTCACCAACAGATTAACTAAAAATGTTGGCATAAACATCATTTACCATGTTAACTAAAAATGTTGGCATAAACATCATTCACCAACAGGTTAACTAAAAATGTTGGCATAAACATCATTCACCAACAGGTTAACAAAAAATGTTGCCCTAAACATCATTCACCAACAAATTAACTAAAATTGTTGGCATAAACATCATTCGCAAACAGATTAACTAAAAATGTTGGCATAAACATCATTCACCAACAGGTTAACTAAAAATGTTGGCATAAACATCATTAACCAACAGTTCAACTAAAAATGTTGGCATAAACATAATTCACCAACAGGTTAACTAAAAATGTTGGCATAAACATCTTTCACCAACAGGTGAACTAAAAATGTTGGCATAAACATCATTCACCAACAGGTTAACACTTTCAAAGTTTAACATTTTTATTTTTTCTGGTAAAAGTGTATAATATTTTTTTTAAAAGTATTTTCTTTATGACAGAAGACACAAAATTTATTTTCTGAAATCTGTATTTGTGTGTGTGTGTTTGTGTGATCCTCGAGTCGGGTTTATATTGTGTGTGTATGTGGCCCTGTAGTGGGTCTCACATTTTGTCTGTGGGGGCTGTAGTCGTTCCAATCATTCTCGCATGTGGTGGTGCTGGAGTTGGGTCCCTATTGAGCCAATCAATCCGAGCCATGATATGTGGTGATGCTTGATTCGGGTCCCTATGAAGCCATATAATCCGAGCCATGATATGTGGTGATGCTAGAGTTTGGTCCCTATTAAGCCATATAATCTGAAGCATGATATGTGGTGATGCTAGAGTTTAGTCCCTATTAAGCCATATAATCAGAGTCATGATATATGGTGGTTCTGGAGTTTGGTCCCTGATTAGCCAAATAACCTAAGTCTTATATATGGTGATGATTGATTCGGTTCCCTATTAAGCCATGTAATCTGAGCCATATGTGGCGGTGCTGGAGTTTGGTCCCTGTTAACCCATTCAATCTAAGCCATGGTATGTGGTGATGTTAGAGTCGAGTCCCTATTGTTTATTGAGCCATTCAATCCGAGCCATGATATGTGGTGATGCTGGAGTCGAGTCCCTATTGAGCCATTCAATCCGAGCCATGATATGTGGTGATGCTGGAGTCGAGTCTCTCTTGAGCCATTCAATCCGAGCCATGATATGTGGTGATACTGGAGTCGAGTCCCCATTGAGCCATTCAATCCGAGCCATGATATGTGGTGATGCTGGAGTCGAGTCTCTCTTGAGCCATTCAATCCGAGCCATGATATGTGGTGATGCTGGAGTCGAGTCCCTATTGGGCCATTCAATCCGAGCCATGATATGTGGTGATGCTGGAGTTGAGTCTCTCTTGAGCCATTCAATCCGAGCCATGATATGTGGTGATGCTGGAGTCGAGTCCCTATTCTTTATTGAGCCATTCAATCCGAGCTATTATATGTGATGATGCTGGAGTCGGGTCCCTATTAAGGCATATAATCTGAGTGAGATAAAGAGTGTTAAATGAACACTTTGTGATGTTAAATGAACACTTTGTGATGTTAAATGAACACTTTGTGATGTTAAATAAACATTTTTTCGATTTTTAAATGAACACTTTGTGATGTTAAATGCACACTTTGTGATGTTAAATGAACACTTTGTGATGTTAAATAAACATTTTGTGATTTTAAATGAACACTTTGTGATGTTAAATGAACACTTTGTGATGTTAAATAAACACTTTGTGATGTTAATTAAGGATGTTAAATGAACACTTTGTGATGTTTGGTGAGCGATGTTTGATGTTTGGTGAGCGATATTTTATGGTTAGTAAGCGCTTCAAGCACCGTGCCCATCGCATCACGTCACTGACATCCTATGTCAAGAAATGTGGGAGGCTCTCTTCGGCCCTGGTGGTAAACGCTTTTGTCCAACAGCGGGGGTCTTCCATTGTCTGACTCCGTCCAACTAGGCCAGTCCTCGCTTTCTAACTCCATTCATTGGCTCCCCTCTCTCAGAGGCCCGTGGCGGTCTGTCACGTGACGGCCGCCATTCCCCTGGTCTGATTGGCTGGTAGTCAGTCAGATGACATGCCGTTGTTTCTGGTCCTCACGAGGCCCTCCATCCTGAGAACAAAAACAAAATGGTAGCCCCCCCCAACCCCCCACCCCCGTTCTCGCTAGTGGTCGTTATTTACGACCCCCCGTTCCGGTAATTGCCGGTGGGAGTAGACTCAGGGACGAGGTGCAGTTAGAGAAAGTAGTTGTACAACTAAATAGAGTCAACGGCGCCAGCGCACATCCAACGAGCTGATCGGCGGCACTAAGATTCTGTGTGTAAACCTTGATCGCTCGACAGTAGCACTACTTAACTGTGTATGTTTATGTTCACAGTCGTTGTGATCTTGATCTTCTTTCATAAGAAGACATCTGCATCGCTGGGCCGTTACAGCATCTGCATCGTTGGACCATTACAGCATCTGCATCGCTGGACCATTACAGCATCTGCATCGCTGGACCATTACAGCATCTGCATCGCTGGACCATTACAGCATCTGCATCGCTGGACCATTACAGCATCTGCATCGTTGGACCATTACAGCATCTGCATCGCTGGACCATTACAGCATCTGCATCGTTGGACCATTACAGCATCTGCATCGTTGGACCATTACAGCATCTGCATCGCTGGACCATTACAGCATCTGCATCGCTGGACCATTACAGCATCTGCATCGCTGGACCATCTGCACTGTGACAAGCGAGTCAAATGCCCGGCCCCGTCTCGTTTCCCGTTTGTTTATGACCATACCAGGGTGATAATGTTTCACGTCGCCCCCCCCACGTACTGACAGGGTCAGGTTTATCTGAATGGTCATCAGCATTATCCACGGATCATTTTGTTTTCATTCACGATTCGCCCCCAACGCTCCTTCTGGGATAACGGATGTGTTGATATACGATGATTAGGGTTGATGTGGTTGATAGGGTTGATGTGGTTGATAGGCTTGATGTGGTTGATAGGGTTGATTCCGGAATTACTTTCTAGTTGTTGTTTGTTTTTTTTTAAATGATTGAATTCTTTTCTAATCCTGGTGCCGACATGAAGTGAATAGATAATCTAGTTGTTATAGCGAGCAACGGAACAACACAACAACTCAACAACTTGGAAAACGAACAACTGATGATGTCTTTTTAAATATTTTTTAAAATAAATATCAGTAATACTAACTCACCAAAATGCTAGTAGTTCAAAGCTAAAAGCTAATTTTTTCTATAAGACAAGACGAGTTATCTGTTTTTTAGGATGTATCCCAAAAAGCATCCAAAATAATATACAGAAAGTTGTATGTTAATAATTGTTATTTTTACTAACGTGGGTAATTGGAGGAAAATGTTGAAGCTTGTAAAAATTGATGTCGGTCTAAGTGTCAAAGCGAGGATCGATACCACTAACTAGATCAAAGTCTCAAACCAAGACTCAACATCAAAGACTAGATATGAATATGAGCTCGTACTACACCAACATCCTGCCACCGCCTGGGACCATGTCCCCGAACTCAATGTCCGGTGGCTGTGGGGTTGGACTGGTCAACAGTGAGTCTGGTGTTCTTGGGATGGACCCAACCAACATGTACAGTGATCACGGTGAGAAGTATGAGAACCTATTTATATCGTCGCCGATGTTAGGACCAAACACGGGGCCAGGGACCGTCTCGTATGAGAACTGCTCTCCCAGTTACTCCCCCTCGTATATGAGGTATCCTTATGAATCTCGGCATGAGTCTCGAACCCCACATCTACAAGATAACAGCAGCACCAACAACAAACTATTAGAACACCAGAACCACCACGTCATTCATCCGCCAGCTGCACATCAGCTTCACATGCAGCAACATCATCATCCACATCTACACCAACAGCAAGACCTCCATCATCCAAACAGCCACACCGTTGGCCATCATGTGGGGCACCACGAGCAACCGCAGGACCTCCACCCACTAGAGCCACAGCAGCATCATCAACACCGACTCGACCAACCACCGTGCCCGCAGCAGCAACCCCAGCACCAACCTCCACAACCTTTGACCTCAGTGACACCTCCACTGGCCCATCAGTATCCACCGTATGCCATCAACGGTATCCATCCATCAGTTAATCCATCGGAGCTTTACTACGACAATCGGATGTTGGAATGTAAAGGAATGGGCCCGGACGTCTGCTCACAGCAGCACTACTACTATCCACAACAATCCATGACGGATCCAAGCATTTCTCCCAATGGATATAATCCGGGGATGCCTAATCCAGCCTGCATGTCAGGAATGGGTTCTCCAAATATGCCCGTGTATCCATGGATGAGGCAGGCGACAGGAGGTAAGTCTCAAACTCACATTGGGTAATTATGAGATAAAGATAGTTTTCTAATGCTCGATATTATCCATAGTTATGAGGGAAAGATCATTTTCAATTCCAGACAGCATCCCTATTTTATTTGACTTTTTAAAAAAAAAATTAATGTCATTAACCCCCCACCCCCACCACACCCCCAAGCCATGTTTGCGGTGACATGCTATACAGTATTCGCTTTGTTATTTATTTCTTCAGGCTTGCTTGCTTGTTTTAATTTTGTCATTATGGAAACAATAATAAAACCGCAATCCTAATTATAACACTATTCGATACATTTGAAAGCAACGGGTAGGCCTGTATATGCTATAGTGTTGCTGGACTACCGTAGCACAGAATGGCGATGGTTACGATTACAGACTACAGTGTTGCCAGAGTGACATTTTTGTTAATGACCAACCGACGATAAAGTCAATATTTAAATCGCTTCGTTTCAATAAGATTTAATATTGCATCTATTCAGTAGTGACGTAGTCAATTATTCAATACTCCGTCTGTTCAATAGGGACTTGCCTTCTATGGTTAGATCAGTTATTTTCTTTTTTTTTCACAATTCCATTTCATCATTGACATATAAGCCAAATTACAGAAAATATTTTTTTTTTAAAGCAAAAGTCTAATCACGAGAAATACCAAGAAATGTCCATGGATTCCTCTCCTCTACAATATTGATCATTTACACTTACTATCGATTACAATCTCTACAATATCGATTACTTACACATACAATATACATTATTTACACCTATCGACTGTTTACATCCAATATATCAACGTTTCTTGCCACAACTTTTACTCCGGTCATTCCAAGCTAAACCAACATTCATTAAAATATGTCAGAATTTACTCCCCCACCCCCCCACCCCTTTTTCCCCAACGACCCTAATCCCCACAACTAAATCAGAGAAGCCAGGTGTGGTAAGCCTCTTGTGACATTAAGTTAAAAATATCTTCCAGGCGCATTTTTTTCCACATCAAGATTTATGAGCAATTTAGTAACAACCACTTGTTTCTTTTAGCGTGCCTGTAAAATCTAGCATGTTAAGGCTAGCATGTTAAAGCTAGCATGACTAATTGTGCTGATTTGAATTTGTTGATGGCTTACTGGTGGTTTTGAAATTATTCGTTAAATATTGATGACACTCTGATCATTCGAATATTTAATTACCCATGCTAAAAGTGTTGACACTATTGTACAACAGTTGATACACTTCAATGTCGGTATTCAAGGAACATTTAGACCATACATTACATGCGCTATTACATTTCTGACCCTAACTTGATCCCGACAATCTAAAAATAAGAGTCACTCTATGAGGTCATAGTTTAATATAACAATAATTTTTGTTGTGACACAAGAGTTTTTAATTGAATTCTTAAACAGAAATACGTCATATGAACTATATTCGTTTCTCTGGAGTACAGAAAATAAAATCTATTTTACACATGTCTCAATACGCATTTAAATTAAGATGTATTCATATGTCTCAATTTAAAGCCGATAGTTCGACCCATTCGAGAGTTCAATCATTTGCCCAAACAATGACGTCATTAAATCATGAGCCGGCTATTAGAAACATTGGACCATACAAAATAGATTTTAACTATTGGACTTAAACAAAATGTATTTTAAATATTTCAAGTATACATTTTTTTTTAAAAATTGTATTTATACAATATATATTACATTTCAGAAAAAATGAATGTATCTATATATCAAGATTAGATTATTTCAAAAGATAACCTGACTAAAAATAGATATTTATAATTGATTTTTTTTACACCATTAAAAATCATTCAAGTGCTGAACTATTTCAAGGTTTTATAAATAAATGTGATATTTATAAATGATGATAAATGTCAATAGCGATTTTAGTTTCTGAGACGATGAGTCAACATATCATGTTAAAATAATTTTAATATCAATCCCGACCAAGCTAAGGAAGTAGTTATTACTTGAAATACTTAGGTTTTATCAAAGAATTTATCTTACAACAATGTGTACAACTTTCTTCCAACAATATGTACAACTTTCTTCCAACAATATGTCTACAACTTTCTTACAATATGTCTACAACTTTCTTACAACAATATGTCTACAACTTACTTAAAACGATATGTCTACAACTTACTAAAAACGATATGTCCACAATTTTCTTACAACAATATGTCTACAACTTTCTTACAACAATATGTCTACAACTTTCTTACAACAATATGTCTACAACTTTCTTACAACAATATGTCTACAACTTTCTTACAATAATATGTCTACAACTTACTTAAAACGATATGTCTACAACTTTCTTACAACATGTCTACAACTTCCTTACAACAATATGTCTACAACTTTCTTACAACAATATGTCTACAACTTTCTTACAACAATATGTCTACAACTTTCTTATCACAATAAGTCTACAGCTTTCTTATTACAATATGTATACAACTTTCTTATCACAATAAGTCTACAACATTCACTCTTGAAACTTTCAGTTCTTAACTGGAGGCATATTTCCTTCAATATAAATAAATGAACGCTTGCCTTACACTCGATTGTTGGTTGTGTCAATAGATTATTGGTAAGGTCAATATACTATTGGTAAGGTCAATAGATTATTGGTAGTGTCAATAGAGTATTGTAGTGTCAATAGATTATTGGTAAGGTCAATAGATTATTGGTAGCGTCAATAGATTATTTGAAGTGTCATTAAATTATTGTTAGTATCAACACATTATTGGTTGTATTGAAAGATTATTTATTGTGTCAATAAATTTTAGTTCGGTCAATTGATTGTGTCAATAGATTATTGGTTGTGCCAACAGATTATTGGTGGTGTCATTATTGGTTGTATCAATAGATTTTTAGTTGTGTCAATGAATTGTTGGTTGTGTCAATAGATTATGGGTTGTGTCAATAAATTATTGGTTGTGTCAATAGACTATTGGTTGTGTGAATATAAATGTGTCTAATGCTCGTATTAGAGTGTCAAATGTCCAATTATCTCTGTTTTTATTTCACTGTGAAGAAAGACACCGAAAATTGCATATTTCTCACATCACTATTTTATCAAGTATTTATTTCTTATAATGTCTACAGTATTCCCTAAAAATTATTTTTTCTACAGTATTCCTTATAAATTATAACGTATTCTTTCCCGAGTATTCCTAAAACTTATTTTTTTTTTAAATATTTCATTTAAATTGTCCCCATTTTTGAGATATTATTTGTTAATGTAGAGTTCAATAAACCCATGATGTTTTCAAAGCATAAAAACATATAACAGAAACATCCAAAATATTTAGCTCATAAAACACTACATACAATCTAAAAGTTGGGGGAGGCATGGTGGGGGTTTAAAGAGAGGGATGTGGTGAATTAAGGGGGGGGGGGGGGGGGCACGGTAGGGGNATAAGAATGTGGGCACATATAAGAGTGCGTTGTGTTGTGTTCCAATAAGAATGTGGGCACATATAAGAGTGCGTTGTGTTGTGTTCCAATAAGAATGTGGGCACATATAAGAGTGCGTTGTGTTGTGTTCCAATAAGAATGTGGGCACATATAAGAGTGCGTTGTGTTGTGTTCCAATAAGAATGTGGGCACATATAAGAGTGCGTTGTGTTGTGTTCCAATAAGAATGTGGGCACATATAAGAGTGCGTTGTGTTGTGTTCCAATAAGAATGTGGGCACATATAAGAGTGCGTTGTGTTGTGTTCCAATAAGAATGTGGGCACATATAAGAGTGCGTTGTGTTGTGTTCCAATAAGAATGTGGGCACATATAAGAGTGCGTTGTGTTGTGTTCCAATAAGAATGTGGGCACATATAAGAGTGCGTTGTGTTGTGTTCCAATAAGAATGTGGGCACATATAAGAGTGCGTTGTGTTGTGTTCCAATAAGAATGTGGGCACATATAAGAGTGTGTTGTGTTGTGTTCCAATAAGAATGTGGGAACATATGAGAGTGCTTTGTTTTATGTGGCAATACGGTTTGGGGTATGTTTTTTTATGTAATTAAAATTATGAATTATAATAGAATTTTACTGCAAATTTGTATGCATACATAAAGGCATCCTACTTGCGGGAAAAAGAAAAGAAAAAAAAAAGGGGTTAGGGGGTTTTAAGAGCCAGGGTGATTCTTGTTCGATATATCTTCAAGGTAAATATAATCAAACATAGTAAATAGCTAGGTGTAAACACAATTATTAACAAGGATAAACACAATTAAAAACAATGTTTAAGCACAATTAATAACAAGGTTTAAACACAATTAATATGCAGGTTTAAAGACAATTACTAACAAGGTGAAAACACAATTAATAACAAGGTGAAAACAATTAATAACAAGGTGAAAACACAATTAGGAAGGGGTCTTGGTGTTTCTTTCAGACCATTAGGAAGGGGTCTTGGTGTTTCTTTCAGACCATTGGAAAGGGTCTTGGTGTTTCTTTCAGACCATCAGGAAGGGGTCTTGGTGTTTCTTTCAGACCATCAGGAAGGGGTCTTGGTGTTTCTTTCAGACCATTAGGAAGGGTTCTTGGTGTTTCTTTCAGACCATTAGGAAGGGGTCTTGGTGTTTCTTTCAGACCATTGGGAAGGGTTCTTGGTGTTGCTTTCATACCATTGGGAAGGGGTCTTGGTGTTTCTTTCAGACCATTAGGAAGGGGTCTTGGTGTTTCTTTCAGACCATTGGGAAGGGGTCTTGGTGTTTCTTTCAGACCATTAGGAAGGGTTCTTGGTGTTTCTTTCAGACCATTAGGAAGGGGTCTTGGTGTTTCTTTCAGACCATTGTGAAGGGGTCTTGGTGTTTCTTTCAGACCATTAGGAAGGGGTCTTGGTGTTTCTTTCAGACCATTAGGAAGGGGTCTTGGTGTTTCTTTCAGACCATTGGGATGGGGGCTTGGTGTTTCTTTCAGACCATTAGGAAGGGGTCTTGGTGTTTCTTTCAGACCATTGGGAAGGGGTCTTGGTGTTTCTTTCAGACCATTAGGAAGGGGTCTTGGTGTTTCTTTCAGACCATTAGGAAGGGGTCTTTGTGTTTCTTTCAGACCATTTGGAAGGGGTCTTGGTGTTTCTTTCAGACCATTAGGAAGGGGTCTTGGTGTTTCTTTCAGACCATTAGGAAGGGGTCATGGTGTTTCTTTCAGACAATTGGGATGGGGTCTTGGTGTTTCTTTCAGGCCATTGAGAAGGGGTCTTGATGTTTCTTTCAGACCATTAGGAAGGGGTCTGATGTTTCTTTCAGACCATTGGGAAGGGGTCTTGGTGTTTCTTTCAGGCCATTAGGAAGGGATCTTGGTGTTTCTTTTATACCATTAGGAAGGGGTCTTGGTGTTTCTTTCAGGCCATTAGGAAGGGGTCTTGGTGTTGCTTTCAGACCATTGGGAAGGGGTCTTGTAGTTTCTTTCAGGCCATTGGAAAGGGGTCTTGGTGTTTCTTTCATACCATTAGGAAGGGGTCTTGGTGTTTCTTTCAGACCATTAGGAAGGTGTCTTGGTGTTTCTTTCAGACCATTAAGAAGGGGTCTTTGTGTTTCTTTCAGACCATTAGGAAGGGGTCTTGCTGTTTCTTTCAGACCATTAGGAAGGGATCTTGGTGTTTCTTTCAGACCATTAGGAAGGGTCTTGGTGTTTCTTTCAGACCATTAGAAAGGGTCTTGGTGTTTCTGTCAGACCATTTGGAAGGGGTCTTGGTGTTTCTTTCAGACCATTTGGAAGGGGTCTTGGTGTTTCTTTCAGACCATTTGGAAGGGGTCTTGGTGTTTCTTTCAGACCATTTGGAAGGGGTCTTGGTGTTTCTTTCAGACCATTAGGAAGGGGTCTTGGTGTTTCTTTCAGACCATTAGGAAGGGGTCTTGGTGTTTCTTTCAGACAATTAGGAAGGGGTCTTGGTGTTTCTTGCAGACCATTTGGAAGGGGTCTTGGTGTTTATTTCAGACCATTAGGAAGGGGTCTTGGTGTTTCTTTCAGACCATTACAAAGGGGTCTTGGTGTTTCTTTCAGACCATTAGGAAGGGGTCTTGGTGTTTCTTTCAGACCATTAGGAAGGGGCTTTTGTGTTTCTTTCAGACCATTAGGAAGGGGTCTTGGTGTTTCTTTCAGACCATTGGCATGGGGGCTTGGTGTTTCTTTCAGACCATTTGGAAGGGGTCTTGGTGTTTCTTTCAGACAATTGGGATGGGGGCTTGGTGTTTCTTTCAGACCATTAGGAAGGGGTCTTGGTGTTTCTTTCAGACTATTGGGATGGGGGCTTGGTGTTACTTTCAGACCATTTGGAAGGGGTCTTGGTGTTTCTTTCAAACAATTGGGATGGGGGCTTGGTGTTTCTTTCAGACCATTTGGAAGGGGGCTTGGTGTTTCTTTCAGACCATTAGGAAGGGGTCTTGGTGTTTCTTTCAGACTATTGGGATGGGGGCTTGGTGTTACTTTCAGACCTTTTGGAAGGGGTCTTGGTGTTTCTTTCAGACAATTGGGATGGGGGCTTGGTGTTTCTTTCAGACCATTTGGAAGGGGTCTTGGTGTTTCTTTCCGACCATTAGGAAGGGGTCTTGGTGTTTCTTTCAGACTATTGGGATGGGGGCTTGGTGTTTCTTTCAGACCATTTGGAAGGGGTCTTGGTGTTTCTTTCAAACAATTGGGATGGGGGCTTGGTGTTTCTTTCAGACCATTTGGAAGGGGTCTTGGTGTTACTTTCAGACCGTTAGGAAGGGGTCTTGGTGTTTCTTTCAGACAATTGGGATGGGGGCTTGGTGTTTCTTTCAGACCATTTAGAAGGGGTCTTGGTGTTTCTTTCAGACAATTGGGATGGGGGCTTGGTGTTTCTTTCAGACCATTTGGAAGGGGTCTTGGTGTTTCTTTCAGACAATTGGGATGGGGGCTTGGTGTTTCTTTCAGACCATTAGGAAGGGGTCTTGGTGTTTCTTTCAGACCATTAGGAAGGGGTCTTGGTGTTTCTTTCAGACCATTAGGAAGGGTTCTTGGTGTTTCTTTCAGACCATTGGGAAGGGGTCATGGTGTTTCTTTCAGGCCATTGGGAAGGGGTCATTTCGAACGGGAAACGCCAGAATAAGCCCTAACAGGCGATGATGATGATGATGGCAGATTATTTTTGATAAATTTAAAATGTAAGATGGGATTTTAGCACACACACACATATACACACACACACACACACATCACTCTACACTTAATCGAAGAGCAACGGGAAGATGCTAGTTACAATTGTATGTTTATCTTTAACTAAGGGCCATGGTGTTGGCCCTGCAACCCCTCAGAGCCATCGTGTTGGCTCTGCAACTCCTCAGAGCCACCGTGTTGGCCCTGCAACCGCTTAGAGCCATCGTGTGGGCCCAGCAGCTCCTCAGAGCCATAGTGTGGGCCCTGTAAGCCCCGCCGCTACATGGGGCCTTAAACATTTTAAGGCTTAAGGGCCTAAAGTTTTGCTGTGGACACTTTAAATGATCAAATATGAATGAAAGGAAAAAACAGAAAAGTGGCAGGGGGTCTCGGGGGGCCTCAGAAAGTCAAGCGAGGGCTCTACTTGACCTACTTTTGCAACACGCATAGTTTTGTTAGATACTAATTACACTGTGTTTTTATCTCTTGTTAAAACTATGTTTAGGGTAAATTACTTAATAACTAAGTGATTTTTTGTAACTCTAAAAAAGATTTCAGTCACAGAGAAGCACTGAAAACATGATTTTAAATGTTGAGCGAATGAATCTATTTATACTAAATACATTCTCCAAATATTTCCAAGTTTTATATGAGTCAAAAGGGAAAAAAGAGTTTTGTAGAAAGGTCTATACATGATTTTTCTAAACTGGTTATTTTTTATAAATCATATAAAAGCGCGTAATTATGTTAAGAAGACTTGAGTTGTTTACAGAAGACAACATATATTTACTAAGGAGTGAATTTATTCGTTGGAAATCGTACGAAAATAAAGTATACAGTTCCCAATAGTAAGTGGATTAGTGGATTCAAATGTTGGTTTGGAATTTCTAACAACTAAAACTTTCTTCAGTTGAAATCTTAATATCATCTTTGATACACTTGAACACATTTGAACAAATTTCATAATTAAATCCATAAAATTTAATGTTAATTTGAAGATTTAGATTTTTTTTTTCTTTCTAAGACTAGTACATAACATGGAATTGGCATGATAATCGAAATGCTATTTGAGAAAATGGTGGTTTAATATTAGCTCTCTGCTGTATTTTATCTTTAAAAAATAAATGAACAAATATTTTAAGGTAATGGATTATTATTCTGATATTAAAAAGAGAAAAGTCATGCTTTATAATGAAATATAATTGGAAAACAGATTGCACATGTTTGATACTTATCAGGAACTAAATTAAAATAATAGACCTTTAAAATGACGTCAAATGTAGTTCCACACTGTTATTAAAATATTTAAGCTTGTGAAGTGGCAAAAAATGTATTAAAGAAAAATACCATGACATCCGAACAACGGGAGGTTAGAGTTCGGGTCATCATCAGGTGGGGTCAATCTTCCAAACATTGGGATATTTATAATCGAATAGTGTAAGTTTCTCACCAGATCAGCCTCACATTGGCGGAACATCTAACAGATCGAGCTCCGGGACATTTCACTGGTCCCGCACATTGTAACAAGGCATCAGTTATTATTCTTTTTAAAACTTTTATAAAAATCACAATATAGTATTTTATTTGCATAATAAAATATATTTTCGTTTTATTGTTATACACGTTTTCCCCAGTGGGGAGACACTAACAGGCACTTGACATACATAAATTCCCTCTGGGGGACACTACCAGGCACTTGACATACACATTTTCCCCGTGGGGGGACACTAACAGGCACTTAATATACACATTTTCCCATTGGGAGACAGTAACAGGCACTTGACATTCCCCCCGGAAAGACGCCTGAAAGAAACACTGGTCCTAGTATTACACAATACGTAGACCAAGTATCATATAATACAGAGTCAAAGTATTACACAATACGTAAGACAAAGTATTATACAATACATAGTCCAAGTATTAAATAGTACGTAGACCAAGTATTACACAATACATATTCCAAGTATTACACTATACGTAGTCATTGAATTATACAGTACATAGTCCACATATTACACAGTACGTAGTCCAGGACATAGACTACACATAGTCCGAGTATTACATAGTACGTAGTCCACGAATTAGACAACACATAGTCCAAGTATTACACAGTACGTGGTCCACGAATTAGACAACACATAGTCCAAGTATTACTCAGTACGTAGTCCACGAATTAGACAACACATAGTCAAAGTATTACACATTACGTAGTCCACGAATTAGACAACACATAGTCCAAGTATTACACAGTACGTTGTCACGAATTAGACAACACATAGTCCAAGTATTACACAGTACGTTGTCACGAATTAGACAACACATAGCACAAGTATTACATAGTACGTCGTCCAAGTATTAAACAGTACGTAGGCCAAGTATTACACAATACATATTCCAAATATTACACTGTACGTAGTCCATGAATTATACTGTACATAGTCAACTTATTACACAGTATACGTAGTCCACGACATACACAACACATAGTCCAAGTATTACATAGTACGTAGTCCACGAATTAGACAACACTTAGTCCAAGTATTACACAGTACGTAATCCACGAATTAGACAACACATAGTCCAAGTATTACACAGTACGTAGTCCACGAATTAGACAACACATAGTCCAAGATTTACACAGTACGTACTCCACGAATTAGACAACACATAGTCCAAGTATTACACAGTACGTAGTCCTCGAATTAGACAACACATAGTACAAGTATTACATAGTACTTCGTCCAAGTATTAAACAGTACGTAGGCCAAGTATTACACAATACATATTCCAAATATTACACTGTGCGTAGTCCATGAATTATACAGTACATACTCAACTTATTACACAGTATACGTAGTCCACGACATACACAACACATAGTCCAAGTATTACATAGTACGTAGTCCACGAATTAGACAACACTTAGTCCAAGTATTACACAGTACGAAGTCCACGAATTAGACAACACATAGTCCAAGTCTTACACAGTACGTAGTCCACGAATTAGACAACACATAGTCCAAGTATTACATAACACATATTCCAAGTATTACATAACACATAGTCCAAGTATTACATAATACAGAAGTGAAGAGTGTGCGATGAAGTATAAGACAACAGAGACATCTTTGCCTGTCTTTCATACTCACTGATATAGTGACGTGTCCTGTGAATCATATGACATACGAAAATTCAGATGTACCGTGCAGTCTAACTTTAATCGCTGGACACCGTGTTTGCAAGCCAATTATCGTCCCGTTATTTTGATCCCGTTTTAACAAGCCAATCATCGTCCCGTCATTTTGACCCCGTTTTAACAAGCCAATCATCGTCCCGTATTTTGACCCCGTTTTAACAAGCCAATCATTGTCCTGTTTGTTTTACCCCGTTTTAACAAGCCAATCATCGTCCCGTATTTTGACCCCGTTTTAACAAGCCAATCATCGTCCCGTATTTTGACCCCGTTTTAACAAGCCAATCCTTGTCCTGTTTGTTTTACCCCGTGTTAACAAGCCAATCATCGTCTCGTTTGACATCGGTAGTCGGGCTCAGATCTAAAGCAACACTATATGCCACAATGCAAAAATATCCTATTTCCAAAATGTTGAATAACCCTATTCGGCTACAGTCATTGAGGCCCAACAATCTAGATCTTGTCACGCCAATCCCATAATGCAGTTCTTTTTATCCCAGAAATCATAAATAAAATCAAATAACATTGCATACAAAAATCAACTATCAATAAATATGAACGAGTTTACTTTGGCCAGAGCGGGAAAGAAACTGCAGATGATCCGGAAAAACTCATTCAATGATGACGTCACTCGTGTCACGTTGACCCTTCACTTTAATCTGAGAGACCATAAACAAGCCCAACACCATCAGTCATGATTAACCCCTGACGCTCCCCCTGCCCCCAGTAGTCTCCATTCATTTCCCCCCTCCCACCCTCACCCCATGGCCCAGGAAGCATCCCCGATTGGGACATAATGTTTTGTCTTATTACATGGTGCTAAGTCTTGCACACAGAAAGAAGGTCGCTAGTCTTGAGGTGTTGAGGCAGTCAATGATTGAGGCAGTCAATGACAGAAACAAGTCACTAGTCTTGAGGTGTTGAGGCAGTCAATGATTGAGGTAGTCAATGACAGAAACAAGTCGCTAGTCTTGAGGTGTTGAGACAGTCAATGACAGAAAGAAGGTCGCTATAGTTTTGACTCGCTGAAGACAATGACAGAAAGAAGAGTCGCCAGTCTAAGGATGTTGACACAGTGACGTAGCTAGGGTCAGTGCCTCTTCTTCTAAAAAAGATGCTAATTTTTTCAAAGAAAGAAATTTTCACTTTTTTAAAATTGTTTGATGTTCTTAGTTTTCATGATTTAATATTTGCTCTATGATGTTCTGGGGAATTGGAAGGGAGGTCCAGGCATTTCATAAACTATTCCACTTATGCCCCGATACGCCCCGATACACCCACGGTGGCGTCACCTCACTTGTTCTCAGTGAAGGAGAAATGGATTTAATCATGGAGTAAATAGGGCGGGGGGGGGGGCTTGTCATCGGCAAATGTGTGTGACAGTAACAACTGCGGGCCCTTGTCAGTCAAATGTGTGTGAAAGTAACAACTGTGACAGTAACAACTGCTGCCCATTGTCAGTCAAATGTGTGTGAAAGTAACAACTGCTGCCCCTTGTCAGTCAAATGTGTGTGACAGTAACAACTGCTGCCCATTGTCAGTCAAATGTGTGTGACAGTAACAACTGCTGCCCAATTGTCAGCCAAATGTGTGTGACAGTAACAACTGCTGCCCAATGGTCAGTCAAATGTGTGTGACAGTAACAACTGCTGCCCCTTGTCAGTCAAATGTGTGTGACAGTAACAACTGCTACCCATTGTCAGTCAAATGTGTGTGACAGTAACAACTGCTGCCAATTGTCAGTCAAATGTGTGTGACAGTAACAACTGCTGCCCATTGTCGCGAAAACAACACAAATAGCAACAATACAGGGCTTCTTATACCCTGGGTCATGTGAAGGGTAAATTCACAAAATGCTTCTTATACCCTGGGTCATGTGAAGGGTAAATTCACAAAGTGCATCTTATACCCTGGGTCATGTGAAGGGCGCATAATAAGATGATATTAATGAATTCATTTTAATAAACAATTAGCCACAAATATAAAGTATAAAACAACATTACTATTTACTTAAAACAAAACCAAAAGTTGCGAATTTATAGAATAACATCCAGATCCATGGAAGCTAAATCTTCAATTGAATAACATACTCACTGACTCATAATTAGAAGCTTTCATACGGTGAATAACATACTCACTGACTCATCATTAGAATCTTTCATACGGTGAATAACATACTCACTGACTGGTCATTAGAAGCTTTCATACGCTGAATAACATACTCACTGACTCATCATTAGAAGCTTTCATACGGTGAATAACATACTCACTGACTGGTCATTAGAAGCTTTTATAAGCTGAATAACATACTCACTGACTGGTCATTACAAGCTTTCATACGCTGAATAAAATACTCACTGACTCATCGAATCTTCCATTAGTGTATTCCGGGAGTTGAAAAACTGAGAGTGACCTTGACATTGGCACATCAACTTCCGATAACAACCCCTAGATAAGCGACATGTTCATTTTAGTTGTTTCTAGACATTGAAGAGTCAACCACAGAAATATGATCCGTTATGAGTGTATCCATATTAAGTGTATACATAATGCATATATCCATGGCGACTGTGTCCATGGTGAGCAAATCCATACAGGAATTCAGCAATACACATGTCAAGACGAGATGACAATTCAAAAGTGTTGCTTTGAGCATCCTTGTGAATAAAACACATGTAGACCTCACCGAAATAGCCGCAAGAATTGAATCTTTTTTTCTGCTGCGTCAAAACAGAACTCTTACCACACACAAACTCTTTAACTCATCACCACGTTCCCGTTGCAATTGTCTGGCTGCTTTGGTCTGGTTGCTCTGGTCTAGTTACTCTGTTCGTAAAGTTGGCCCTTTTAAACTGTTTCTCCAAAAGTTCCACGTGACGTCAGTAGTTAGTGTTATTGTTAGTGTTATTGTTATAGTAGCGGGGCTGAGTTAATGACCCTGGAAATCGTTGTAATGCTCTGACGTCGGCGAATCCAGGGGTCCCGTTTTCTTTTAAGGCTCTTCCCCGCTTTTCTCTAATTCCAAGCGCTGGCCAAACTGCCTTTAGTAATGTTTATGGCTGGAGTCGCCGAGGCTGATGGGCCATTAGAAGACGACGGCAGACTATCAAAATACATTACAGCAGATATTTGCTTTCAGAATGGCGGCTCCAGGCTCCCCACTTAAGGGTCAATTGATGTCAATGTTAAGTTATATGTCGGCTTACAAGCATCAGCGCTTACATATCGTGAGACATTTTATGGTCACCATATGGTGAAGGTTTTCAGTATGGTTCTACATCAGGGATATTTGAATTGCATTTTCAAGTAATGCAATACACCACCCCCACCCCCACCCCCCACACACACACAGTTTTTTTTCCAAACCCTCAGAAAACTGAAAAAAATAATTGCTAATCTTACATTGTGGTATACTAACATTTCTCTAACATTTCTTTAACATTTCTCTAACGTTTCTCTAACATTTCTCTAACATTTGTCAAACATTTCTTTAACATTTCTCTAAAATTTCTATAGCATTTTCTTAAATGTTTCTCTAACATTTCTCTAACATTTCTATAGTATTTCTTTAATGTTTCTCTCACATTATCTAATCTTTTCTAAATTTTGTTTAAGTTTTATAGTTAATTTTCATTTTAATGAAATATTTGATGTTCCTTTTAAATGTATGTGTGGATGTGTAGGTGTGTATGTGTGGATGTGTGTATGTATGTGTGGATGTGCGTGTGTATGTGTGGATGTGTGTATGTGTGTGTGTGTATGTGTGGGTGTGTATGTGTGGGTGTATGTGTGGGTGTATGTGTGGATGTGTGTGTATATGTGTGGGTGGATGTGTGTGTGTGTGTATGTGTGGGTCTGTGTGTGTATGTGTGGATGTGTGTGTATATGTGTGGGTGGGTGTGTGTGTATGTGTGGGTGGGTGTGTGTGTATGTGTGGGTGTGTGTGTGTGGGTGGGTGTCGGTGGATTTCAGCTTGTTTTAAATTTTAATCAGCAGTTTAATTAGATGGTTCATGATTGTGGGTGATTGCTATAAACTATTGGACGTGTGATTGTGGGTGATTGCTATAAACTATTGGACGTGTGATTGTGGATGATTGCTCTAAACTATTGGACGTGTGATTGTGGGTGATTGCTATAAACTATTGGACGTGTGATTGTGGGTGATTGCTATAAACTATTGGACGTGTGATTGTGGGTGATTGCTATAAACTATTGGACGTGTGATTGTGGATGATTGCTCTAAACTATTGGACGTGTGATTGTGGATGATTGCTCTAAACTATTGGACGTGTGATTGTGGATGATTGCTCTAAACTATTGGACGTGTGATTGTGTTCAGCATAGGAAGAAATTCATGACAAAATCTCTGAAGACTTTTTTGTCACGTCAACATTGAATTCGTTTTATGTTGTTATGATTATGTCCTGTCATATGTGTTTTATGATTATGTCCTATCATATGTGTTGTTATGATTATGTTCTGTCATATGTGTTGTTATGATTAAGTCCTGTCATATGTGTTTTTATGATTATGTCCTGTCATATGTGTTGTTATGATTATGTCCTGTCATATCTGTTGCTATGCTTATGCCCTGTTATTCTTAAACCCAATTATTCTTATTTATTAAATCGTTCATAGGAATCCCACCCCAAAAATCCGACCTCACAAATCCCACCTCAAAAATCCGACCTCACAAATCCCACATCACATATCCCACATAAGAAATCCCACCCCACAAATCCCACCTCAAAAATCCCACCTCACAAATCCCACATTACATATAAGTCAGTTTTACATCCAGGCTCTAAAAGGTTTTTTTTTGTTTCTGCCACTATGGTATACAAATGCGAAACAAAAATCCATTAAGATTGGTCCACTATTGTCTTGTGTCAACATATGTCTTGGGTCAACAAATCTCTTGGGTCAACTAATGTCTTGGGTCAACAAATCTCTTGGGTCAACTAATGTCTTGGGTCAACATATCTCTTGGGTCAGCTAATGTCTTGGGTCAACAAATCTCTTGGGTCAACTAATGTCTTGGGTCAACTAATGTCTTGGGTCAACTAATGTCTTGGGTCAACTAATGTCTTGGGTCAACTAATGTCTTGGGTCATTCAATGTCTTCCAACTCTTTTCTCTATCTTGGGACATCCTATAGTCCTGTTTAAACGCCGTTGCCATTATTTCAAATCAAACAGACGTGTAAATAAACAAAATAATCAAAAGCCATAGAATAGTGCTAAGTGACAGGAGAGATAGGGTAGTGCTGAGTGTCAGGAGAGATAGAGTAGTGCTGACTGACAGGAGAGATAGGGTACTGCTGACTGACAGGAGAGATAGGGTAGTGCTGACTGACAGGAGAGATAGGGTAGTGCTGAGTGACAGGAGAGATAGAGCAGTGCTGAGTGACAGGAGAGATAGGGTAGTGCTGAGTGACAGAAGAGATAGAGTAGTGCTGAGTGACAGGAGAGATAGGGTAGTGCTGAGTGACAGGAGAGATAGAGTAGGGCTGAGTGACAGGAGAGATAGGGTAGTGCTGACTGACAGGAGAGATAGAGTAGGGTTGACTGACAGGAGTGATAGGGTAGTGCTGACTGACAGGATAGATAGAGTAGTGCTGACTGACAGGAGAGATAGGGTAGTGGTGAGTGACAGGATAGAGAGAGTAGTGCTGAGTGACAGAAGAGATAGAGTATTGCTGAGTGACAGTAGAGATAGGGTAGTGCTGAGTGACAGGAGAGATAGAATAGTGTTGAGTGACAGGAGAGATATGGTAGTGCTGAGAGACAGGAGATATAGAATAGTGTTGAGTAACAGGAGAGATAGGGCAGTGCTGAGTGACAGTAGAGATAGAGTAGTGCTGAGTGACAGGAGAGATAGGGTAGTGCTGACTGACAGGAGAGATAGGGTAGTGCTGACTGACAGAAGAGATAGGGTAGTGCTGAGTGACAGGAGAGATAGGGTAGTGCTGACTGACAGAAGAGATAGGGTAGTGCTGAGTGACAGAAGAGATAGGGTAGTGCTGACTGACAGGAGAGATAGAGTAGTGCTGAATGACAGGAGAGATAGGGTAGTGCTGACTGACAGGAGAGATAGGGTAGTGCTGACTGACAGAAGAGATAGGGTAGTGCTGACTGACAGGAGAGATAGGGTAGTGCTGAGTGACAGGATAGATAGAGTAGTGCTGACTGACAGGAGAGATAGGGTAGGGCTGAGTGACAGGATAGATAGAGTAGTGCTGACTGACAGGAGAGATAGGGTAGTGCTGAGTGACAGGATAGAGAGAGTAGTGCTGAGTGACAGAAGAGATAGAGTATTGCTGAGTGACAGTAGAGATAGGGTAGTGCTGAGTGACAGGAGAGATAGAATAGTGTTGAGTGACAGGAGAGATATGGTAGAGCTGAGAGACAGGAGATATAGAATAGTGTTGAGTAACAGGAGAGATAGGGCAGTGCTGAGTGGCAGAAGAGATAGAGTTGTTCTGTGTTACAGGAGAGATAGAGTAGTGCTGAGTGACAGGAGAGATGGTGTAGTTTTGATTGACAGGAGAGATAGGGTAGTGCTGAGTGACAGGGGAGATGGTGTAGTGTTGAGTGACAAGAGAGATGGTGTAGTGTTGAGTGACAGGAGATATAGAGTAGTGCTGAGTTACAGGAGAGATAGAGTAGTGTTGAGTGACAGGATAGATAGAGTAGTATTGAGTGACAGGAGAGATGGTGTAGTGTTGAATGTAGAGGCCGACCGAATTTCGGCTTCGGCTTCGGTTTCGGCGCCGAAAGTGGCCATTTTATCACTTTCGGCCAAGTTTCGGTTTCGGCCGAAACTGGAAAGTTAACTTTCGGCTTAATTTCGGTTTCGGCCGAAAGAGAAAAGTTAACTTTCGGTTTTTCTTCGGTTTCGGCCGAAATTGACTTAGACTTTCGGCCATCCGGCCGAAAGTTACTCAGGTTTTCGGTCATTTAATACTAAGCGAAAGCGATATTTAACAAAAAACTAAGCGACATTTAAAAACAAATTAAGCGATCTTTGAGAACAAACTAAATGATATTTAACAACAAACTAAACGACATTTATGAACAAACTAAACGATCTTTAAAACAAACTAAGCGATCTTTAAGAACTATCTAAGCGATCTTTAATAACAAACTAAACGATCTTAAAGAACAAACTAAACGATTTTTAAGACCAAACTAAATGATCTTTAAGAACAAAACAAATGATCTTTAATGATTTATAAGAATAAACTAAGCGATCTTTAACAGAAAACTAAATGTTCTTTAAGAACAAACTAAAAGATCTTTAAGAACAAACTAATCGATCTTAAGGAACAAAATCAATTATCTTTAAGAACAAACTAAGCGATCTTTATGAAAAAACTAAGCGATCTTTAAACAAACTAAGCGATCTTTAAGAACAAACTAACCGATCCTTGACTACAAACTTAGCGATCTTTAACAACAAACTAAACGATCTTTTACAACAAACTAAACTATCTTTAACAACAAACTAAACGATCTTTAACAACAAACCAAACGATCTTTAACGACAAACTAAACGATCTTTAACAACAAACTAAACTATCTTTAACAACAAACTAAACGATCTTTAACAACAAACCAAACGATCTTTAACAACAAACTAAACGATCTTTAACAACAAACTAGACGATATTTAACAACAAACTAAACGATCTTTTACAACAAACTAAACTATCTTTAACAACAAACTAAACGATCTTTAACAACAAACCAACCGATCTT